ACGTGCGCAGAATGAAGGAGGGAAATCACAAAGGAGGGAACCATTTTATTTTCTAACTGGGAAGAGACACTAAGAAGAAAAGTTAAATTTGGTCCAGATTTAACTAAAAACAACAAGAAGAAAACTAACCACTCTTAAGTTCAACTGAATTGTGCATGAATTTTTGCTGGGCCTAAATCATTGCTTCACATCCATCCACCCTTCTTAAAGTTCAAATCCATGTTTAAGGCCCAGCAATTACTCAGAACATCTTACATGTTGGTTTATGTATTAATTTAAAGTAGTCCTTCCTCTCCTCTCCTCTCCTCTGCTGTCTTCCATCCATCCAAGCCTTCTCTTCCCTCTCTCTCCTTCTCATCTCTCCCATGTCCCCTCCCCTTCCATTCTCTACCCTCCCTCCCTCTCTCTGTCTCTTTCATTTCCTCTAGCCAGAGAATTTTTATGGATTCTCTTTACAGAAATCCTCTCTTGATGGGATGTCCAGCATCTAAAAGAGGTGAAAAGGGCTGGGCGTGGTGGCTCACACCTGTAATCCTAGCTCTCTGGGAGGCCGAGGTGGGAGGATCACTTGAGGTCAGGAGTTCGAGACCAGCCTGAGCAAGAGCGAGACCCCGTCTCTACTAAAAAATAGAAAGAAATTAGCCGGACAACTAAAAATATATAGAAAAAATTAGCTGGGCATGGTGGCGCATGCCAGTAGTCCCAGCTACTTGGGAGGCTGAGGCAGGAGGATCGCTTGAGCCCAGGAGTTTGAGGTTGCTGTGAGCTAGGCTGACGCCATGGCACTCTAGCCCAGGCAACATAGTGAGACTCTGTCTCAAAAAAAAGAAAAAAAAAAAAAAAAGAGGTGAAAAGTTAAAATGCTTGGTGTAGAATCATGTCCACTTGGTCTTTTCTTCATCCTCGCAACCCTGGGTGACCCCTGAGCTGCCTCTCAGGACCCTAGCTTGCCAGATGGAGCAAATAAACGCATAGGACACCCAGCTGCATTTGTATTTCAGATAAACAGCAAATAGTGTTTTAATGTACTGGGTGTCCTTTATTTTACCTGGCAATACTGTTGGAACCCCTAGGGCCAGGGCCAGCTTCATGGGGTGAGACCTGTGCAGTCGTACAGGCCTCACACTCAGAAGGGCTCATGCTTGGTTTAATGCTCTGTTCTCACCATCTTAAAATTCTTATTAATTTTTGAACAAGGGGCCCTACATTTTCATTTTGCACTGAGCCCCAAATTATGTAGCTAGTCCTGCCTAGGGCTCTTTGGAGCATGATTTGGGACCCAGTGCCATACATATTGCCACTTTGAGCTGACCCATTACCCTATGTGGTACAAACCCAAGTGCGGCCCCACTGCCTGGAAACAGAATGGATATCTGGTGGTTTTTCCTTAGGAATTGTATTTTTCTATTCTAATTGGCTCTAAGTGTTTCTGCCTTGGCAGCAAACCCCACTTGTTAGACTTTTTAATCCAAGTCTCACTGTACCTAGCATAAATCAGTGAAATGTTTAGTGTGTAGAAATGCTAGTGGCTTCGTAGATGTCTTGAAAAGCGATTTGACCTAAAAAATAACTTTTATTGGTGTTACCTAATCAGTGCTACGTGATGGATATGATATTCATTATAAGTGCACATTTATGATGTCATCATTCTGCACAATTGCTGAGACTCATACTTTCCAAATGTTGGCTGTAGATTAACTTGATTCCTCCTGCAGATGGGATCTTTTTTTTGAAAGAAAAGAACATGGTTGTTCTGACTGTTCAGTTCTGTTAAGAAAGGGGCTCCTGAGCAGGTGTATAAGAAAATAAAGAGTATTCACATGTAGAAAGGAACTGCGTAAAGAGCCACAGAAATACCACCCAAAATCACCTAGAAAGAAATAGTACACAAGTTGTCTTAAGAAAATCTGGTATAAACAAAACACCAGGCTTAGATAAGGATGTAATCACTTGTATTGCAAAAAATAATGTTTCACTTTACAAAATATCTATTCCTAGGTCCATTTTAAATAATGAAATCTATACAAAAACTATAACATTTAATGAGTAAAAATTCTATTGAATTTCCTGGTTTTGATAATCACTATTGTTATGTGAGAGATCACTTTTGGGGGAATCTGGGTGATGTCTGGAAAGAACCTCTCTGTGCTGTTTTAACTTTGTAACTTCTGTGAGTCTATAATTATTTTAAAATAGAGATTTTAAAATGTATATATGTACATGTACACACACTACATAGTATATTATAATATATTCAGGAACACATCCATGAGGTGAAACAGGCACATCTTCATTGCATGCCCAGTCTAGGTGGTGACTGATCTGTCTTTACCTCCCCCTGGTAATTTATCAAATAAAGCACTGAATCTAGAGACTGTAATGCCCAAATCCCACGGTAGCTGATAGCTTCAATCACTTAATCTTTCACCAATGGGGCATCAACAGCAAAAAATAAACTCATTTTTAAAATCATGTTTCCTTGTCTCATGACCTAGAAAAGGAGAAAAGATCTGAAATGAGTAATCTGCTTTTGTGATATTAGCCAAGACCCAATTTATCTCCCTTTTCTCTTAAGTTTAGCACCTGAGCTTGGTGATTATATCATTCTAATTTTAATTCTAGTTAGAGTGAGTTCATTTTCCCAATTTAAGTTGCTTAAACGGAAAAGGCGGAAGTAGTGACAGAAGTTAAAAGAGATTATCAAGGAATTGAACATATTGCATAAGATATTGAGAACAGGAAAGGAATTTATTTATTCATTCACTCATTCAGCTCCCAACTCTGTGTCTTACATTGTCTGATGGTACAAGGATGAACACACTCTGACCTCCAGGCACTCCTATTCCAGGGTGCAGAAAGTTAATAAGCCAGGAAACAAGTTGCTGTGCCCTGGAATCACCAGGTAGCAATAAATGCTATGGAGAAAAATAAAGTAAAGGAAAGCTATGTAGGGGCGGGAATCAGAAAAAGCAATTTGTTAATACTTGGAATGATGTTGCTTTTGTAACAAGAGAGAGAGAGAGTTAGAGCCATCATAAATTTAATTGGTTAGCAAAAACAAAAAATGTTAATGTTAATCCTAGTGTTGTGTTACTTAAACAACTTGAATGCTATACCATTTTAATTTTAATTCTAGTTAATGTTAGTTCATTTTCCCCAATTCTGGCAGTGTTGGATTTTCGCATTTACTTTGTATAGCAGCAGTCTTAAAAATGTTCATGTTCTTTGATCTGTAATACAGTGATTTTCAATCCCACCGGACCTAATGCCCTCTTTTTGACAATAAATATTTTGTAACATTCCCTTTACTATCCAGAAATAAAATCATGGATCTCATAACCTATCTAGAGACATAATTTCAAGAATTCAAGACAATACTTTGAAGAAACCAAAGGAAAGTAATTTATAATAAAGTAAACACAAACACAGCAAGGCATAACCATGCATGCATCTATACACAGAATTACCATGGCAACCTCGAATGCTGACTGAGGCCCAGGCTTATGGACGAGTCACAGCCAGGAACATTGCAGGTTGCCATGGCAATGGGAAAGGAGAGGATGGCCGAGACACTGGTGCACTGGCCTAACCTGCACCTCTAACTTCAAAGAGGCAGGGGAGTTTAATCCTTCCAAGGTCTTGGGACTGGGAGAACCTCAAACCTTTGGTGGAACTGAGTGGGGCCCTGGGCACTCAATGGCCTACATGTGTTTGACCACATGGCCATTTGACACTGGGCACGGCACAGTTCTCCATTGGTTGAGACTGCCCCAAGCATTGCGTGGCTGGCTCTACCCACCAATGCCAATAAAGCTCCCCCAGGCAAAAATGCCTGGACAGGTTTTCAGCATCCCTCTTGTAGGTGGGGTGACCCTCTTTAAGAATTTCTGTATCAAGCAAGCTCATGGGAATTTATTCTCAGGTAGTAATCCAGGAAAGGATGGTGCTATTTGTCTGACTATATTGACATCAAGGTTATTATGACAGTGTAAAATTGGAAACAACCTAAATGTCCAACCAAATGAGAATGTGTAGTTAGCTATGATTGATCAAAGAAAAGTATACAGTCATTAAACATACAAATAAAATCCTATACAGCAACGCAAACCAAAAATGTCACGTGTGATATATTGTTGATTGAAATCATATTAACATATAACATTTTATATGATTTATGTAACATGCATGCATATGAAGCAAAGAAGAAATATTCTGAATTGATAGTTGAAAGAAAATGAATCGGCTATCTGTTGATTTGTAACAAACCACCCCAAAACTTAGTGCCTTGAGACAACAATTTGTTAGCTCATGATTCTGCAGGTCTGCAGTTTGGGCTGGGCTCACACAGTATGGTTCTTTAGCTGGTCTTGCCTGGGCTCACTCATGCTGTGGCCACAGCACACGTGGCCCTGGAGGGGACAGGCTGGTCCAAGGTGGCCTCACTCACACAGAGAGCAGTTGTTGCTGTCAGCTGAGCCTTTCCCTGCAGTGGGCTAGCCATGGACATCTTCTTTGAACAAACCTGGAAAAGTATGCAGGATTTTAGGCCCAAATTATAACTTTAAAGCTGCTGAGGGAGGAGATTGATAGAAATTGTTTTATTTGTGCATTTCAATACTATTTCCCAAAGGCCTACTTGACCAGAAAATGTCAGAGGCAAAAAAGAGAATAGACCAGCCATCTGGTCCATGGAAGGCAAGCAGGTTTCATCTGAAGTGTCAACTAAAATAGTTGGTCCCAGGACCAGTGTTAGAGGTTGATACAGGCAAGAAGAGAGAGAGAGAGCTGAAAGTAGTTAGTGAAGTTGCCATGGGGAGGGATTGAGGGTGGTGTGATAAATGCCCCACATTTGCCCCTACGAGGATGGGGTCTTACATTCAATTTCTTCCAAGGAGTTTGCTAGTGGCAAATAGACCTTATCTGGCTGCAGTATTTGATGACACTCTGGCATTTTTTACATTGCTGAGACATGGCTGATGAGTGATAAACTCTTTGCACAGGTTGTGGGGCGGGAACTGCTGACCCAATACACCAAACACTATGAAGAAAAACCACTCTCTGGCCTGCTCCAAAACTGGGCTGAGTCTGTGGGTGACAAGCTGAGAACCAGGTATGTATTGCTCAGGCCACCATCGTCACCTTCCTTCAGGGTCTTATCATTGAGCCTGAGTTTATAGAGCCTTGACATAGCACAGCTCACTCTTGCTTGAAATTTTATATATTTGATATATGCAAAAAAATTCATGAATATGTAAAATTAATGTACCCACTACCAAACTTAAGAATTAAGACATGGCTACTTCTGTTCTTTCTACTTGGGTTCCTTCTTATTACTTGTTCACTGTTCCAAGCGCTTTACAGGTTTTAACCCTGAAAACCCCATAAGGTAGGTTTTAATTTCCATTTCACATTTGAGGAACTGAGGCACAGAGGTTAAGTATTTTGCTCAAGGTTACATGGTTAGTGAGTGGCAGAGCTGAGGTTTGAACCCATACAGTCTGGCTTCAGGATCCATGTGTTTGGTTGTTCCTATTGATCTTTCAGTACTGTCTTTTAGCTTTATAAATAAAGCATAATATATGTGGTATTCTGTAACTTTCTGTTTTCACTCAATTATTTTGTTTCTAAGATTCATCCACATTGTTACGTGTAGCTGAAGACCTGCTCTTCACAGTGTTTCATAATATTCCATACTGTGTATATGCCACAATTTCCTTACCCATTATAATCTCCAATATTAGTGCAAATTTGGGTTGTGTCTGGTTTTTTGATATTTTACACAAAGCTACTATGAAAAATCTTGTACATGTTTTGTGGGAGATGTGTGCAGGAGTTTGTACAGGGCTTTCAAACTCAGGTAACATCACTTAGAACAAGAAATACATTTTCTATCATCAGAGATGCCCATACATCAATGGTACCCCCACCTGAGACACAGCTAGAGCAAACTCTCCCTGAAACAATGCTTACTTACCCTATTTATTAGTACTAATGATGCTCTCTGATTTTTTTTAATTTTATTTTTTAAGAATCCTGATCTCAGTACTTTAAACTGATTTTATGGCCCTTTAGTAATTTGCAATCTGTTGTTTGAAAAACACTCTTCTAGGGCATATGTAACCTAGGAGTGGAATTGCTGTGCTGTGAAGTATGCCAATGTTCAGCTTTACTTGATGGTGCGAAATTATTTTTCCAAGTGTTTGTATATCATGTTTACACCTTTATGAGTAGCATGTATCTTGTGGGGCCATATCCTATTCTTGTCAACACTTGGTGTTATCAGACTTCTTAATTTTTGCCAATACAATATAAAAAATGATTTCTCACCATGACTTGAAACTGCATTTTGCTTATTACTATTAATATTACAGGTGAGTAGGATTTCATGTTTGTTTGCCCTTTGTATTTCTTCTTCTTCCTCTTCTTTTTTTTTTTTTTTTTGAGACAGAGTCTAACTCTGTTGCCCAGGCTGGAGTGCAGTAGCTCATTGCAGCCTTAATCCTCCATCTCAGTCTTCTGCGCAGCTTGTATTTCTTTTTATATGAAATGCTTGTTCATATTTTTTGCCCGTTTTTCCTTTTCTTTTTCTGTGTGTGTGTGTGTGTGTGTGTGTGTGTGTGTTTGTGTGTCTCATTGATTTTTAGGAATTCTTTATCCTTTGTTGTTCTAAGTGCTATAACTATCTTCTCCAAGTCTGTGGCTTTTCTTTTACTTTCTTTATGGTGTCTTTTGATTAACATAAATTCTTAAATTACAATTGAAGTTATCAATCTTGTATATTCAATACTTTCTGCATCGTCTACTCTGAGGCCACAAAATTATATATTTTTTAAAGTTTGGAAGTTTCACCTTTCACATTTAATTCTTGAATCCATTGACAATTTTTGTCTGTAGTTTGAGGAAGGATCTACTATTTTTTCCTCCCTTAGGGATTGTCCGTTGTGCTGGTGCTATTTATTGAGTCCGCCGTCCTTCCCTAGTGATCTGCAGTGCCCCCTCTGGCATTTATTAAATTTCCATATGTGTGAGAGTCCATCTGGAGGCTATTTTTTTCCTATTCTATTTGTATATTCTTGATCCAACAATATGCTGTTACCCTGGCTTTTTAATAAAATATTACTATAGTATTATATTGTTATATCTGAAATATAATTCAAAATTGTATTTGGCTATGCTGGGTCTTTTGCACTTTCATGTAAATTTTTTAATAAGCTTATCAAGTTCCTCAAAAACAAAACAAAAGGACAAATATTGTAGGATTTCACTTACATGAAGTACCTTGGGTAGTCAGATTTGTAGAGATAAAAAGTGGAATATCGGTTACCACAGGCTAAGAGGAGGAGAGAATGGATAGCTATTGTTTACTGGATGCAGAGTTTTAGTTTGGGATGATACAAAAGTTCTGGAGATGGATGGTGGTCATGGCTGCACAACAATGTGAATGTACTTAATACCATTGAGCTGGTTAAAATAGTGAATGTTTTGATACATGTATTTTACTAGTTTAAAAAACTTACTGGAATTTTCTTTGAAAATGTATTTGATCTACAGATTTGCAGAAAATTTGACATATTTATAAAGCAGATCTTTCACACAAAGATTTTAGTCTTCCAAGTGTCCTCCAGTGTTTTATAATTCTTTCCATACATAGTATATCCTTTCATAGATTTATTACTAGTTACTTTATAATTCTGTTATTAAAAGAATATTTTTAAATTTTTTGTTGTTAATGGTTTATTATGCATGCAGTTGACTTTTGTGTATAAATCTGACTTTAAAAAAATTCATTTAAATGTGTCTATAAATTCTCTGGGTTTTTTTCCCATAAACGACCATTTGCAAATAATAATTTTTTATTTCTTTCTTTCCAATCGTAATTCCTTTTATTCTTTTCATGTCTTACTGCAAGGGCTAGAACCTCCAATGCAATTTAAATAGAAGCAGTCATAGATGTTCTTCTGTCTTATTGCTGTTTTTTTAAAAAAATAGTTTAACATTTCGCTTATTATGAATGACATTTGCTGAAGTTTTTGATAGACATAATTTATTTTCTAAAGAAGCTCACACATTTTTAAAGTATTTTTGTCATTATTAGTTGAATTTTATCAAATAATTTTTTTTGCATCTGTTGAAATGATCTTATGATATTTCTTCTTTATTAGTTGATTTGATTAAAAACCTTTTCAAATCCTCTAATGTTAAACTACCCTTGTATGCCTAGGAAACATTCAATTTTGCTATGCTATATTATCATCTTTTTATCTTCTTGGATTTAGCTTGTTAATGTTTTAGGGGGACGGGAGGGTTGTATACTTATTGGCTTCTTATTTTCCATTCTTGTATTTCCCTGATTTAGATTTATATCAAAGTTTTACTGCTCTCCTAGAGTAATTTTGGGAGTGGTTTCTTATTCTGTGGAAGAATTTGATAAGTTATTTGAAAATGATCTGGGCTTGGGGGAATATTTTAAACTATTTAATTAATTATTTTAAGACTAAGCTTTTTCTTTTTCTGTTAGTTTTCATAAATTATATATTTCGAGCAATTCATCCATTTGGTTTTGAATTTACTGGTAAAGGTTTTTCTTACTATTCTCTCATTATCTTTTTGACTTCTGCTAGATCTATAGTTGTGTTTCATTTGTCATTCCTAAAATCATTTGTTGTGTCTTTTTCTTTCCTTGTTCTTGCTCGATCTTACCAGATGTTCGCCTGGTTTATTATTTTTCAAACAACCAACTTTTCCTTTTGTTGATCCTCTCTGTTGTACCTTTATTTTCTACTTCACAGATTTATGCTCATAAATGTCTTGTCTCCTTTATTCTGCTTTTGGAGAGCTTACTATGCTTTTTTTTCTTTTGTGTACTTTGAACAATTATTGTTTTTATTTGGAATGAGATTATTGTTCTCCACAACCCAAATATATTGAAATAATTTTCAAAAAAACTATTCATTAGAAAATATAGTCCCACAATCCTGATTAAACACTTGGAGAACACAATAAATAATGGTATGGGACTTTTTATAAGCATTGGGATGAGCTGAAATTAAGAAATCTGAACTTTTTAAATTTTTTAATTGGTGCTCCTGTTCCTGTTTATTCAAACTATAGTCTATCTTAAAGCTTGAAAGCATGAGCTCCCACATTCTAGGACTGTGTCACTGAAGTCTCTCTCAGTTTTAATGTCTCAGTTTTTCCTAACACACTCTGGACTGTCAGTACATCTTTTTAGTATTTCTAGCCCTGAGTGGGAATTTTATAGTACTAATGGCTTTCCCCTCAAGTTATTAGTTTGAAAATTGTCCAATGTATAAGGAGTTGAAAGAAGAGTACAATTCCCCACCAGAATCAGTTCCATCCTTTCAGGAAACTTGTTCCCCAACTGGCCACAAATCATCTGCCCTTTCATTTCTTTTCCAGATAGCAGAGCAGGGCTTGTTTCAATCATTTTGAAAGCATGATACGCTCTCACCCATATGCAAATCTATATTCCTAGCACATTTTCCAGGACAGATTTGAGAAGTGCCAAAGGCAGTATTCCAATTGTAAATATTTGGAAAGTTCCAGTTCATTTATTTTGGTCTTGGTTATTAACCTCGAAAACAGTACACATTTCTCTTTCACACATCCAGGTTTTACTTGATTTAGTCTGTCTATGTTTATCTACTTAAATCCCCAAATTTTACTTACTCTGACTTTTATGTTTAAAAAAAGCCTTTGCTATCCAACATGTTTTCGGTACTCATTTTGTACTGGGCACCTCTCTAAGCATTGGTGGTACAGCAGAGACTGGGGTGCTCGGCCTTCGTGGAGCCTGTGCTCCAAGAGAGCAGTAGGACGGCAGGCAGTGACAACCCCAAAGGAAGTACCTATGAGCAGATGAGGATAGGAGGAAAGATGGGCCAAGAACTTCCCAGCACCCTGAAACCCCTCCAGCAGGCAGCCATATGTGCAGACACCCAGAGGCTACCCCTCATTTGGACCGGGGAGGAGTCGGTCATGGTACTGAAAAGGCTCCCTGAGATCAGGGAGGCAGGTGGGGCTTGGCAGGGAGAGAAGCCCTGGAAGAAAGTAGCTCTACAAACAGCCCCATTCTGCCCTTGCCTGTCCCTGCGAGGGCTGCCTCTCGCTCCTCGAAGGGAGCCTGCCACTGGGGCCCCCACCGCTCTCATCAGCCCACAGACCTCTAGGAGTCAGTGGGTGTCAAGAAAAAGAAAGTCAAGATTTTGCCTTGCACGCTAATGTTTTTCCATATTGTGCTTTGAAAATTTCCAAATATTCAGCAAAGTTGAAAGAATTTTACAGTGAGACTGTGGAGATTCTACCATTTACATGTTCCTGTACTTGCCATAGCACTGTTACATATATGGATGTGGCAGTCCCTCAACTCACCCATAAATTCACCTTTTCTTTTTGATTAATTTCAAAGTAAATTGTAGACATCAGCACTTCCAGGTAATGCAGCTTGAACATCATTAATTAGAGTTTAATATTTGATTACAGTTCTTATTCTTCTTATGTAGAATATACATGTAATGAAATGCACAAATCTTAAGTGTACATTCACTGAGTTTTAACAAATGCATTTACCTGTGTAACCAAAACTCTTATTAAGGTGTGGATCATCACTCTAGAAAGTTCTCTCATCTCCTTTCTTGGCCAATCCATGTAACCACCACCCAGACGCAGCCACCAGAATAGGTATTTTTCCACCACAGATCTTCATATAAATGGAACCACATACTATATACTCCTTTGTAGCTGGGTTATGAACTTGGCGTGATACTTTCTGAGACTTGTCCATGTTGTCATTACCTTTTATTACTGAGTGGTATTTTATTTTATTTTATGGACGTAGTAAGAATTTGTTTTTCATTCTCTTACTGATAAATAGACAACTGAGACGTTTCCAGTTTTTCATTCTTATGAGTAGAACTGCTATGAGCATTCCTGTACAAGCCTTTTTGTGAACATATGTTTTTATTTCTCTTAGGCAAATAGTAGGAGTGGAATTGCTAGATCATAGGTTATGTGTTTAGTTTTATGAGAAGCTATGAGAACTTTTTCCAGAGTGATTGTACCATTTTACACTCCCATCAACAAGCATGAGAGTTCTGGTTTCTCCATATCCTCGGTGACATTTGATGTCAGTGTATTTAATTTTAGTCATTCTGGTGAATGTATGATACTACTCATCGTGGTTTCTGTTTGTATTTCCCTGATGACTAATGATGGGCATTTTAATTTAATCTAAATTTTATTTAAAAATAGTCATTTGGATCTTCTTGTAAAATACGGAATTACAAGGAAGTTGTCTTTAGCAATATTCCTATTTTTAAGAATCTGCTCAGTTTTCTACACTGGTTGAGTTCCTAGAGCCACATGGTGCATTTGGGGATGACATGTGACTCACAGCAGGGTGAGTGGGTGAGGTCCGTTTCCTGCGCACATGCAGTTCACATCCTTGGGTGGACTGTGTTCCATGATCGACATCCCAAGAAAGATAGTTTCCATTTACTGTCTCCAGTTTTCATAGTAACAGCCCTGGGAATGCCAAAACATACTTTTTAATAAAATAGGAGAGTTCTTTTTGCCTTTCGTTAAATAGACTGAGGCAGAAACTCAACCTTCTGAAGCCCAGATTCAGAATGGGCATTGATATCATTTAAATTTCCTGGTAATTGGCATGTAAATTATCTCCCCTCTTCCCTGTCTAAATGGAGGGAAATTATTAATTCAGCACGTGGCATTCTCAAAAATTACTGCGTCAGTTGCTTCTTAAAGTTTCTCTCCTGCTTTCTGATTAAGCAACAACAACTACTTGGGTTTTTTAAAATTTTTAATCAATGGGAATCTAAGTTATTTGGGTCTTATAATAACTTACTTCCCCAGGATATGGGGAAAGTAGAGGGTAAGAGGTGGATACCCTATGGGAAACCCTAAGTGTGAATTAACCCCCTACCTGTTTGTCAAGGTTACCTAAAGGTTTCATGGTGTGGAAGGGCACAAAATTTGCACAAAAGGCAGAGTTGCATGATGAAAAGCCAGTGGGGTTTTAAGGGAAACTTTGTTGTTTTGAGTCTGTTTATGCTTAAGTCTCTTAACTCCCCAGTCCCTCAATTTCCTCATTTGCCGGTGGGGGTGGAAATTATTCCTTTTGAAGAATGTCACCCTGTCTGTGGCACACTCTACCCTGGACTTTCCCATAGCTCTAACTGCCTTGTGGGGTCCCTCTTGCCTTAAAGACTGTTGTCCTCCAAGACAAAAACCCAAGCTTACTGTGTTCTCCCTGGTGACCTTGAGCAACTTGCGAAATCATGCTGAGCCTCAGTTTCTTGAACTCTACATTTGATAATTATAGTATCCTAGAATTATTGAGAATATTGAATAATTCATGGCAAATAATTAGCACAGTTCCTGATATATAATGTATTTAATAAATAATATTCATTGACAAGTACTTTGTAACAGATATATTTGATTATTGATATTCAGTTATAATAACTATAATAAATGTCCAACAGTCATTGAGTAAATTATTATAAACTCACTTGATGGAAATTAATAGCTCTTATTAATGAAGAAAGACTATGTAAAATATTGAACACTACTTATAATACAATAGTAAGTGGAAAAAGCTGGAAACCAAATTATCTCTATACCACAAGGACAGCCATATATTATAGTATAAACTAGAGCTAAGCATTCATCAGAAAAATGCTGAAAAGAAGCACAATTACAGCCAGTTAGAGATAAGATAGGGAGATTATATGTATTTACACCATTTTTCTGTGGGAAGAAAATTCTTCTTGAAAAAACAACCCCCCTCTTTCTTTCAAATGAAATTCTTTGGTGAGGCCAAAATAATAATGTTGGTCATTGTGTTTTTCCTTCAGTTTCCTGGCATTTAACATGGACACGGTCGGTAATCTCGCCTTTCTGTTGAAAGCGGTGAATTTTCGTGAAAGGGTTCTACAGCGGGGTTTGGTGGCCAGAATTTATCATAAGGTAAACATACACTGTGTTATATTTTTCCTTTTGCCATATGTTTAAGGCATATACTTGCTGGTGAACTATCTGCTAAATTTAGTAGGAGATGAGTCAGCTTAATTGCAATCTTCTGGAAACTTCTTACAGCCATTTTGCATCATAGTTTCTTTCTCTGGAGGCCAGGGTGCTGCTATTTAACCCCCTTTATGTTATCCTTTAGAATCTCACCCACAACTATCATTTAGCTGCCATGGGAGTTGATGAGTGGAGTAGTTTTTAGCCCTTATTAAAATTGAAAATTCATTGTTTTAAATGTGTAACGAATA